TCGGAATCGTCCTTGGGCCACGGAAAGAATTGGTATAGACATGAGAAAATGAGGTCCGTTAATCCACACGACCTTCTTGCTTTCTTTCTCGCTGAATCCTGGCAGTTCTGGCACGATTATATGCTTCATTTCCGAACAAGTCACTGGGCAAGGCAACAGTGGTAGTCCGGTGCAACATCTTCACGACGAGGCCCAGTTCGACGTTTTTATTCTAGTCGATATATCTGGCGGGTTCTCCCACATACTCCTTGGAATTTTGACCTATAGGCTATGTTTCTGAACTTGAACAGTGAACATAGTCAACACCGATAGTCCCGGGTTCAAATTGGGGATCAGAGATTGAAACAGTCACTGGGAATTGAGGAACGAGCCTCAAGTATGTATCGGCCAGCTCTGACGTTGGCAAATCTTTCATTGTGGACCTCCTCTAGCCATCGTAACTCAAGGAAGGGCAGTCGCATGGAGCAGCAACTAAACAAAAACAAAACCTTTGTTGCCGGCGTTTCGAATTGCATATTCATGTATTCTGTTGGTCAAGTGATATTTGATCCTCTTCACTGTAATAGAGATGGATATATACTGTTGGAAGTTAAGAAATAGTAACTTTTCACGTTGACCACATTCACGGCACAATGCGGCCATCACCCAAGGTGCTGATTCCATCATTTGTTTTAAAGCGTGGTGCTCCGGCTTTCCATACTATTACCAAGACATTAGCTTGCTCAAGGATGCCATCCTCCTTTATTCTACATCACTTGAATATACGAAGATTCTGGAGGGGGGGGAGGGGGTAGGCACCCACCCTCCAGGATTTAGTTCATTGAATAAACCTTTTGGGACGACATTGATTGATCGCCACATCTATTACCAACTCTGCACATCCTTCGATTCGTGCACTGGAATTTGGGAAAGACCGCACGGGTTCTCATTCTTCAAGACAGGAACCTCACCCGAATGCATGGTAACCTTTTCTTCCAATTTATAACGCTTTTCGCGGACTTAGAAGCATTGCTCATGCTCACCGGCCGTCAACAACGACACTATGTCGCATTTCAATGTTGTAACCAGATACGACCCTGTCGGTTAAATCCGACTGCGGAATTCAGGCGAGCACCACGGGACGGGATCGAGGCTAGATGTAAATGCATACAGTTTATCAATCGATTGAGGTGATTTCGCTGCTAAATACAGACAGAAATTGCTGTATATATCTTCACCTCCCCTCCGCCGAGAACTAGACCCTGTATCAAACGAGGACGTACCAGGAGCTGGAACCGTGCATCGTGGTAACATAAGACGGACGGGCGGGCGACGTGTAAAATAACGAAGAGACTTCAAGTTTCGGGCACCCGAGATCTTTGACGTAAGGTTTGAGAATGTATGGGGCGCCGGACTTCAATGCGTGTCACACCATATGTTTTGGGTCGTACAATGTTCCGCTAAATTCACTTCAGCCACGCAATTATCCGACTGGAAAGAAGTCGTGGTGTTCCCTGCACGCGGCGATGTGCAAGCGCCGCTGGACTGACAGCGTCGCTGTTACAGTCTTAAGTCGACAGGTAGAACTACCATCAAGTCTTTTTCAACCCGTTTGGGTTTCATATCCGGCCTATTCGATTCGTAATGTCTAAGTGCGGCGGCCGCGAACAAGAGTGCCCAGCACATGCAGTAGTAAAGGATGGGGGAAATCATTAAAAGCATGCAGGAATAACAGGAGAGGAGTCTGAGATGAAGAATATAAATAACTAGCGTATAAATTGGTAGATAATTCATGTAAAAAGAAACTCTAAAACTGGAAAACCACTGGCTACATGTGTCTGGGCCGCATCGCGGATCAGCTCGGGGGAAAAAAAACTCACCAAGATAGGGACCCATTTTCAGGCGCAAAACAAAATTGACTCGCACTTGGTGATATCCAGCAGATCGAATTTACCGGGCGCAGTATAGCTAGTAGTCGGTGAGCCCTTTCTGCACCCCGTATGTTGGTCAGTAGAGTTCACTACTTCAGTCAGTGGGAGGTCCTGCTTCGAATCCTTCACTTCTTTTTCTTTCCTTGTGTCCAAATAATCAGATGCTCACCCCTCCATTCTTCTTGAACGGAATATTCACCGGGACACCGCTGATATTTTACGGTGGTATCAGTCGGCGGAGTGTACTCAGAGGGAGCCTCGTTTAGCCTATTCCCGCGTATCACGGCCATTTGACGAAAGAAAGTACCAGACAGTGGGAAAAAGACCCAGTAGCGAAACGTATCGCGTCTGCAGGCCATGTAGCGTGAAACAGCTCTCGGCGGAAGATCCTGGTTCGAATCCAGGCTCGGTCTTGCGCCGATGTCGTTGACTACCACCTTTTTGGCGGGAGGGCGGTGCAAAGAATATCATGTTCCCCATTTTCAATTTCTCTGTCGATGAGTAGTCCACGGACTTTCCCCCGTATGTACGCTCCGGGTAGGGATTAATCCTTCAGTGGAAATACGATCTAGTTACAGCTTCATAGCGGGAGGTCCTGGTTCGAATATACTTGGGTCTTTGGGCTCGTGAAAATTTTCCCAAGACATATGAGTAGATCCCAGGGACTTTCAGGAGGAGATCTCACGCTAGAGAAAGAGGAGGATCTGGAACCACAGTCTGAACGGTCGCGTCGTGTTGACACGTGCTGGGAAAGTCCGACTCCAAGTCGGATCATGTAAACGGCGAGCGCTTCTTTTTCCTGCTCCTGCTTTTTCGCGAGCCTCCGACAAACAGGTCATCGAAATGCATCGCGCGTTGCAATGTAGAACTGGTGGTGATGATCTGCGCGCAGGTTCAAGTTGACACTCACGGACCTGACAAGCACGCCTCGCACGGTGATCTCTCTCGGCTTGCTGCAACGTCCACGATCTTTCTTCATCCTGCGCTCAACATCCTGTGGAGGCACCAGGGAACCATTTCGAACCTCCTCAAACGAATGCCTAATGATATATGGGATATCACAGAGACTCCAATAAAGGATGCAGATGGCACGCCAGAATTACCGGATCTTAAAATCGTGAGGTCCAAGGCGTGCATCTTTCTTTTAGTAAACCTAACCTCTATATGTACAGATTTTGCGGCGACCCATAACCATGGCCGACTGGGAACGTTTCCTATTTTACTCCCACCGCGTGAAGTCCTTTAACGTTGACGAAGACGGAGCGCTCGAAAATCTCGAAGTCTATGACACCCTCGATTTGTCTTTTCCCGAGGAATACCTCTTTCCCAATCTGAAGAAGCTCAAATATTGGCTTCTCGATGCAGCCGACTCTTTCCATCATATCCGCTTGTTTCTTACCCCCAGCCTCACGACTCTCCACATGGCTATCGACAACATTTCGCACCTACCGATATTTTCGACGTTGGCTCCCAAATGTACTAGACTGACGTATTTCAGTCTTGGAACTTCCGGCATCCTCGACGTGGCCGCCATACCAGCAATATCCAGATTTTTATGGACGCTGCACCGCGTCGAATCACTCGTCGTGACCGGCCTGGATGAGGCTGCTCTTTGCCATATAGCTCGACTTCCTGGTCTCCGCTCGCTATGGCTGATGTCCCCAGAGGCACCTATCCCCTTCTCTCAGATTCTAGAGGGATCCCTTCATTTTCCTGCACTCACATCGCTTGAGTGCGAGACGATGGAGCGTGCTCCTGCCCTCCTTGGAACCTCGATAAAATGTTCCTTGGTTGAGTTTTCGCTCTTCTTGAGGGGGCTGAGCGTTCCGCCCTCAAAGATTACAGTTGGTCAATTCTACTCCGCTCTCGCGACCTATTGCTCACACGCGTCGCTTCGAAAACTGAGCGTAGAAGGGGGTTATTTGGATCCAAATACGATCCAGCTTGACATATATTTGGTTGGAGGAGAGATGCTTAAACCTTTGTTTTCTTTCAGCAATCTTATCAAGGTGTCGCTCTCACACCCGGCCGGTCTCGATCTAGACGACGCCGTGGTCGGGGACATGGCTTGTGCATGGCCTCGTATTGAATCACTATTGCTCCCACCGGGCCGTTCCCATCGTATCACCACCCGGGTAACCCTCGAGGGCGTGTATGCGTTCGCAAAGCACTGTCCCTGTTTGCAGGTTCTCAGCATGGCTTTTGATGCCACCGATGTCCCCGAAATCAAAATCAAAGCGAAGAATAGGGTGTCCCAGAACAGTTTGGACCGGCTCGAAGTCGGATCTTCGCTCATCGGCGCACCGCGGCCCGTTGCTGAATTCTTGTCCACAATATTCCCTGCTTTGAAGACCGTCGATACCTTCCACCGACAGCTTTCGCCCAACCCACAGGTGGTCGCCTCCCACGAGGGCTGGAAGCAAGTCAAAGCAGCTCTTTTGAGCGGCTCCCCACCTCCTGCGCTCAACTCTGGTATCGATTCCGCTCGCAAATCTTAGCCCCACTGATTGGTGTGTGAGTTCACCATTGAACCTCTATGTCACTATCTCACAACCACCGATAGCTTTCTCGACGACCTGGTGGCGAAACGTATCACGCGTGCCCGTTGTAACTATCTTCCTTAATTGGGGAGTTGGCGGGAGATCTCTGTTCGAACCAGGACTAGGTCATGATCATCTTCGTGCATGCTTTTCTTTTTTTCTCCCACTGAATCAACTGCTGTACACACGCCACGGGTCACTCTGGATTAAGATGCATTCCTAAGTGATGAGCGTACGACGCCGAATGTACCATTAGACGGGTGATACAAATAAATTTCTTCTTCTTTGCAAATCTTTGCATTGAATAGACGACAATTTTATATGCACAAAACGAGGACTACTTCAGTGGCAATACGACCCGGTGGTGAGGTGTATCGCATCCGCGAATGTTATCGGAATAGCTTTATTTGCGTTCCACGGAAGTTCCTTGTTCGAACCCAGGCTGGGTCATACAGTGGATGTTCCATATTTTTTTTTGGAATTAGTCGGGATCAGCAGGAGTACGACTCTTTAAACCTGCACAACAAGGGAGTTGATTCAGTTCAAATAAGACTTAGTGGCGGAATGTATCGCGACTGCAATCGATGGGTGGAGTTGGATCATTGAACTTGATCACGGGAGGCCCTGGTTCGAATCCAGGCTAGGTCGTTCATGGTAAACGATAAGAAGTTTTGGCGGCGGCGCGGAGGCATAGAAGGAAGCAAAACAGTTGGGTCGGACAAGTGAGTCAAGTTGAAAGAAAGTGACGACAAAGCGAGTTGACTCTTGAGTTGAAAAGTGTACGTAGGGGGACGATGAGTAGATATTTTATCAAGGGTTATATTTATGTTCACGCACCGGTCGACAACTATGAAAAGTGAATATCGAAGTCTTCCACAAGACGAGGAGTAATTCAGTGGAGATGAGACCCAATGGTGAAGCGTATCGCGTCCGTGAATATTTAGAGGATTCCATGAGTCCGCGGAAGTCCCTTGTTCGAAGCAAGGCTGGGTCCTGGGCAGTGTTTAAGGCGTGTTTTTGGTGAGCTGGGCATCGAAATTTAATGGATTACCTGCATCATCTCGCGTAACACGAGGCTTAGTTCAGTCCAAATAAGACCTGGTGATGGAATGTAGCGCGCGCGCAATCGATATAAGAGATCCTTAGGTAGCGATGACGGCGGGAGGTCTTGGTTCGAATCCAGGCTAGGTCGTGGAGGTGTTTGAGATGTATTTTTGATGATGGAAATTTCGAGGATTATACTGGATAGACGAGGAGTGCTTCAGCCCAAAGAAGACCTAGTGGTGGAATGTATCGCGCCCGTGATCGATAATCCGGGACGTGGAACCTTGATAGCGAGAGGTCCTGGTTCGAATCCAGGCTGGGTCCTGTCTTCTCCCCAACCTCCTTTTTTTTCCGTTTGCGGAGTAGTCAGGCTCACCGGCACACCTCCAGACACGCAAGATCATATCCACATGTTCGAGTAGAAGTTCCCGTTGAGTCCTGGTTAACGTCGGTCCCACCTTTGCGTGAACCAACCACGAAAACAGTCCCACAATGGATGTCGAACAGGAGGATCGGAATCATCATCGACGCCTGTACAACAGGGACGGATTCAAGAGAAACAAAGCCTAGTGGCGAAAGCTCTCGCGTTCGCAATCGGCAAATTCATTGAAATGCCAACGGGAGGTCCTGGTTCAAATCGAGGCTCGTCGATAGTTGATTCCTTTGTATAGAAAATCTTGACAAATGAATAGATGTAAGCGGAAGTTGCGGGTGAGTCCGCAGAGAGTAACATTTCGAACCATGTTTGGTGAGGACCGAGCAAGAAATTACGAGCCAATTATCGGGCGAGTGATCGAAATTTTTAGCACAAGGAGGAGGAAAACATGTATACATGTGTGCTGCCTAACAACACATGCGGGAATCCGCAGCGTGAGGGATGAATATAAGGCTCGAAGAAAGGCCAACGGAAGGGAAATAAGCAGGACGTGGTGAGGAGTGACAAGATGGTGGTGGAATGCGGATAGCGCGCCCAGATGTGCGGTGAGGAACAGGTGCCGGGCGACGGAGGCAAGGAGGAGGAAATCGGTTGAGGGACCGGATACAAGACGGGGGCCGAGACTGGCGATGGAGAAGAGAGGGCAGGATGTGGGTGAAAAGGGGTATCGAGCGCCGAGAGGCACGACGGGGGAAGAAGGATATGGTGTGGCACACAAGAGTCGAAAGAACGAAAGACGAACCACTCACCCCTCGCCTCGTGGCTGTTTCTCAGTGCGCGCCGTCACCAACCCATGTCCGCCCACGCTTGTGCGCCTCGCAATACACCAGAAAATTGCCCGGGATGCGCCACGGCGACCTGTCCGTCCACCTCTAATCCCGCTCTCCTCTTCAATACGCTGCCCGAGGTGATCATCTCACGCTCGTCGTCGAGGCGGTAGGTGACGCGCGGGGCGCGGCTTCGAGAGCGCGTCGCCGGTGGTTTCGATCCAGTCGGGGGGCTTGGTCCACCCAGGAGTACTGTATGAAGAGCCCTGGCTGTGCTGTGCTGTGTTCAGGTCCTGAGCACCGTGAAGATCCCTCGCTTTGACCCCGATTAGAGTTTGATAAGACTTGCTGCTCTGCTCCAGACACCGACGTGACTCGGCAGCTGTGTTGCCAGCGCTCTTCGTTTTGTTTCTTCTCGTCGTCCTGCTGTCTTGTCTTCGTCTTGTCTCCGTTGTCACGTCGTCGTGGGAGCGTGGGTGGAAAGAGGGTAAGTGTTTAGTAGTCAGCCCGCCATGCCAGTGGCGGTGTTCCGGCGCGCATTTGCAATCTAGGCTTACTTCTGCTTGAATATCTATCTAGCCCTACGAGTTGGAAATTTATCCCTCCTGGTCCATTCTGCTCTCGTTTCACCCATTCCTAGCTGTTCCTAGCACTGGATAAAATTACTATCTACTGCGTGTGCACGGACCGTCCGCTGTCAATTGCACTCGCTCGCCAGAGCCCTATATATCCAACGTCGCCTCCCCACATTCATAGACCTAGTGGCGAAGGTGGTATCGCGTCTGCAGTCCGTGTATGGTATAGTATACACATGTAGGAATCTCTGGTTCGAACCCAGGTTAGGTCATTCCCAATGTTTGTTCTGCTTTTTCTTCTTTTCTTTTTCTTTCTCTACTTGGAACCCGGGCTTGTTCGAACGTAAATCTAAAGAAGGAAGCGTCTGGATTCTCTTTTTGAGCGGAAGTACCGAGCCTTTATCCTGAATTTTTTCTGTGCAGGCCAGTCTGCGTTTTTCCCCCAAAATGCTCACCCACATGCTATGTACTCGGTGGTCCCTCTTTCATTATGATTCCAATTCCCGCGCACCGTTCGAACCTGAGGGGCTGACAGCAGAAATATCACCCGACACGAGGTACGCCGGCGCAAAATCAGACCTCGTGGCGAATGGTATCGCATCCGATAATTATGTGATAATTCAAGTTATTCGATTCCAGGCTAGGTCGTGTAATATTCCTGCCCAGCTTTTTTCTTTGTTCTGGCAAATAATCGCATAGCAACGTCCCATTCTTTATTTTGGTTGAACATCTTGAAGCTGGGGTATTTTTTATGGTCCACGGTCTGCGGAAAATCATCGGCGTACTAGTGCAGTCGGTGAGGCTTTTTCTCAAGCTCGCCTATGAATATCCGAGCGATTTCGACGAAAAGACCGCACGACAAGAGGTGTGATTGAGTAGTAATGAGACTTAGTGGCGCAAGGTTTCGCCGCAGGCCATGTGATGTCATGCACCGACTTTCAGCGGAAGTCCCTGGTTCGAGTCCAGGCTAGGTCGTGCAACATGCACGACGAGATTTTTTCTTTGTTTTGGCAAAGAATCGCATAGCACCTTCCCATTCTTTATTTTGGTTGAACATGAGCTGGGATTACTTACCCTTGATGATGGTCCACGATCTGCGGAAAATCACCCGCGTACTAGTGTACTCAATAAAGTTTTTCCTAGGCTCGCGGTTACGACGAGATCACCGTACGACAAGAGGTGCGATTGAGGAGGAATGAGACCTAGCGGCGAAACGTATCGCGTCTGCGTCTGCTGCGCTGGTTCAAATCCAGGTTGGTCCATTGGCGAATGGTCGTCAGTTGCTTTTTTCCCCTTTTCGTTTCGCTCCCATTCTTCATTTCGCATCGGTTGTGATGTTGAAATGTGTCATCGATCCATGAGTGCCCTCGGTGCTCTCTTTATTCTCGCCTTCTCAGGATCCTGCGGTATGAGACGTAGGTGTCGCGTCCGCATCATCTTAGAATTCCAGAGGCATGTACCTCGTTCGAATTCAGGCTAGGTCGTCCTTTTGTACCAAGCTTTTTCTTCTTTCTTATTGACGTTTGTGAAATAGGTGACATTCGAGCGGAAGCTCCTGTCAAGTTCTGAGTAAGTCGCTCCCATCCTTTCAGTGCGCCTGAGCATGGACCGGGTCCCGTACATGAATGATGGGTGGGACGGCTTGAGATCCGCGGGATTGAGACAGTACATATCGACACCTGCACAACACGACGAACCAGTCAAGACTCAAGGGAAACGATGTAAAAATTAAAATGTAGGGGATTGATTGACCGATCTTAGACAAAGGACCTTGAAAAGACAACCAGAGCTAGAGGCGTGGGCGGGCAAGATATTAGGGCTGTCTACTGTCGAGTCTCGCGTCCCATTGCAAGAGTGCCAGAAGAGCACTGCACGGGCCGGGAGGCCGGGGGGGGGGGGGGGGGGATATATTATACTCGCGTGGTCCACAGGCTGAACAACGAGTTTACGGAAGACAAACAAGTGGTACTGTAGAGGGTGGTTATCCTTACAGAATTCTACCAGATGCCGACCGAGCACACATAAATTCCAGGGGGTCGGACGCACAAGACGCTGGCAAACTGTGGACTGGCTGGCCGGAGTTCCCATCAGCCTCGGCTTGATGCCCGCGGCGGGCGTGCTTTCTTTTTCAACTTGTTTTGGTGTCTGGACTCATGACTCTTTGATTAATATGTGCCTTGCGGCCTGATGTAATATCGCTTCCCACAGACACAAAATCAAGGGACTTGGAATCGATTTAAAGGTTTGAGAGTGTACAACCAGACGCCGGAGACGGTGTCCGTCGTGCATTCATAATTTATTCATCCATAGCTAGTCTCGTAAACACGTAGCTCAAAGTACATCATTTGTGTCCGTCCCAATTTTCCGCCTTTACATCCCTAAGGCTGTCGTCCCCATTCGAAAGCGACTCGGATGTAGTCGTTCCGGTAGCAGGGTGCACGGGGCCCATACGGAATATTACAGGCCGCGTCGAAGCGACACTATAGCCTTCCGCGACGCTCTCTTTGAATGTCTCCGTCGAAGACCAGACTACATATATAAAGATTCAGCCCAGCTCGACCTGGGAGGGTAACTGGGAAGCAACATACCAGTGGCGAAGACGGTGGATATAATGGCAACATATGTGTTCACCGTTTCAAAAATCAAGGAGAGAATAAGGTCTTTGGCCACAAAGACCGTAATAATCTGGATGAGCCCGAAGATCACTGAAAATGGCTAACTTATCTTCCCGTGGATATGAACAAAGGCCACGAACGAGGGAAGATAAAATTGGTGCTCGCAATCCAAAACAACCTCTGGAGTCTATTGCTGTAAGATTCTACGAAGTTTGATGTGCTCAGTCAATGATGATGAACAAAACACGTCTCCTTCTGGCTCACGTTTTGAATTATTCAAAGTAACGCGTTGAATGGGGGCGCCTTTGAAGAACTTTGAATGTGCATGCAATCCGAGTCTCCACAGGAAGAGGGATGACATGTAACTTCACTCAATGCGTTAGACCTTGCCGTATAGAAAAGATGAACCTACCAGTTATCCACCAGTTCCAGGCAAAACGCAGCTTGAAATGTTGACCTCGGTATCCCGCCGAGGACATCAAATTCACTTGCAGATCCAGCCGTGAATAGGAGCCTCGCCCACTGTACGGAGAACATGATGTTCACTGCCACTCGTGCGCCTTTAACCACGATAGGGAAGGCAAGCAACAGGGGCCAACTTGGGCGGGGGAAGACCACCGTGATGCGCACCAAGAGGACAGCCTCCGCAAACCATGACAGCCAGATATCCAAGATTGTAAAAGCAAGATCTGCGTTGGCGTTAATTTTATAACAGAGTAAATTCATATGGTAGTTCACTTTCTGGGCCATTGACGCCTTTGAACGGCGATAAAATGGTGATTATCTGCACACGGTGTGAGCTTCCGTCCATAGGTTAATTATTTAATGGGATGCTTGCCGTGGTGTGGGCCCCCAATGAAGCAGTGATGATCCCCAAAGCAACAGACAGAACGTTAAGTATGAAAATGGGTTTTCGCCGCGACTGCGGTGTGGACAGTGCAAATAGCATGATCAGGAGCGGCACAAGCATCGAACCGAACACGGTTGGAATGAGAATGAAAGCGAGGGCCGGGCGAATTCCCTGGGCATACGCCTCAATGATAGGGACAACCAGGGCTGAAGGGATAGGCTGAGATGCAGCAGACATGGTTCGAGTAACTCCTTGAGCTGTGCGTGACAGTCTTACTTAACTGGCGTTAAATAGCCACCTGCACAACTCCACTTCTCACCAGCATGAGAAAGCATCATGATCGAGGCAGCATCTGGTATCTCGTAGACAGACGCTTCGCCAAGCAAGGCTCGAGCTCAGTTGGAAGGAAGCATCAACCTTCCGGAGACTTCCTCTCGTTCGGCATCACTCCAACTGACGGTGTAGTCGCCTTTGGCTCCACAAACATGACGGGTCGTAGAATGTCTGGACCGTATCTATCGCATTCATTGAAAGCGGGTCGGAGGCGAAAGAATCCCGCGCCGACTCATTCAACACAATGGTTGTTTAACTTGAGTATCTGAAAATTGGTCAATTAATTTTGACATTCATCATTAGACTTACTGTTGGGGATCGCAAATCTGTCGACTCAATGTATATGGACGTGGGAAAGAACTTCTGAGTTTGCAATTCGTCCGCACTGTATCCTTACAGGGACCACCGCACCTCCTCACGGGAAAGGAGTTGCTCAAATCTCGGAACGAAAATATCTCTCCAGTTGAGCGGCTTCGTCAAGTTTTTTGTAACATGCCCAGGCATCCTTTCACCGAACGCGTCAGGTTACGGGCTGCCTACGATTCCAGCTAGGAGAGCCGCACCTTCCTCCTTGCTGCAGATAAGATTCTTGAGCTTGCAGTGAGCTCCTCGGATTCCTCTAGTTCATACGTGGAAACAGTGATCAGGGATATGAATGCGATATCTGGATATCGAATTATCAATGTTCCTCTTCTCCTCTCCGGGTACTTTACAGCCGTTTTGCGAAACTAAGGCGCCTCCAATTTTTTCCCTTTTCGGCCAAATTTCATTTCTTGCCGCGATAAGTTATAACGAGCTCACATCATGTGGGAATATTAGTGTTAGTGTCTGGGAACCATATATACAGGATCGGAAACGCGACTCCGCAAACGACTAATAAAGTCAGTCTTTCAGCCGGAAGCATTGAGTTCCTGGGAGCTACGCAAGATGTCCCCACGCTCAGCTTCGGCCCCACTGTCGACTGACAGATGAATCAAGTATGGAGGTAAAATTATGAGACTCGTCATTACGGCTTCGCGGCTGACGACTTTGCAAGCCAACCTAATTATTGAGCTCAGGATCATGATGCTACAAAATAACAGCGAAATGCACTCCCTGCGGACGGCGGAAACAAATCCAATATCGGTGCACTTGCCGGCCCAGATGATGGAACCCCAGGTCATTCAAACGTTCAATTCATGTCCAGCCCTACATGGTCAGGTGACCCGAAACTTAAATAAGCGAGGCATTTTGCAGCAGGCAAATCAGCCTGACTTCCGGAGAAAAATGGCTTTCCTTGCACCTTACACTGCGAGGCATGTCGGGGGTTTTACGTGGTGAGAGTGGTAGAATCTGCGCTGTCTCAAGATTTGAGACCCCGTGGAGAAGGTATCATGTCCGCGACTATTATCGACGAGATACAGACAAAAAAAAAAAGCAAACTCAAACATTACAGGAGTATTTGGTCGCATTTGGTTGCTGTGAGTGGAACGCG